CATCCCATTGTTTGCAAATCTATTGAATGTAATTGATAAGACTTTCAATGTTATCCCTCTCAACATCAAGTGTAGCATTGTGTGCTTCAATTATCAGATTAGTTTGGTAGATCATTGTAAGTAGCTTCATCCACAAAGATGACATCAGAATGCATTCGAATTTGGACATGTGCTTCTGAATAGACTGAAGTTCAGTTCGAGCCTGTGCAGTGAGATTGAGAGATTCAAGCTCATTTAAAGCCTTTCTCACTGAATTCAAATGCTGCGCAACTGATTGAACACCATCAATCCGTGCAGACCATCTAGTTTTGGACATCCCATGCAGTGAAACAGGAAGATATTGCTTCAGAATTTCCCACCTTTGTGGACTGCTACTGAAGGGATTGTACATTTGCTGAACAGTTCCAAAGTAAGTAATTGGCTCCTTGCATGATTCAGCACAGTCAACACATACAAGGTTTAGTGTGTGGTTTCCACAGCTGGAGAAAATACAGTTTGAATTATGCTGAAGCAGAACTGCTTGTGCACCTTTGGACTTCCCAGCCATATTAGATCCATTGTCATAGGCTTGACCAATGCAGACTTGAAAGTCTAACTTAAAACCTTCTAGAATTGCTAGTACTTGAGCAGCAATTTATTTTCCAGTTTTTCTCATGAAATTATCAAACAAAATAAACCTTTCTTAAATTGAAAATTTTGAGCTGTCTACAATCTTTAATATATCAAATAATCATAGTAGTCTGTTCCTTGTGAGAACAATCTGGAGTGGCATCAACAATGATTGAAAAATACCTGGCATTTTGAATCTCATCGAGAATTGTTGTTTGTACGAATGACCCACATAGCTCAATAAACTCGTTTTGTATGTGGGTGGAGAAATAATGGACTTGCATGCACTTTTGAGTCTCTTGCAATTCTCGAACACATTTAACATGCTCTGATAAAAGTGGGTCATATTTGCTGAGGAGCTCAACTATGCCTAGAAAGTTTCCATTTGCACAATCACCAATACGTTGACTGGAACCAAAGAAAGCCATTCCCCGCTCAGAAAGAAAAAGGATGACATTCAGGATGCACTCAAGAAGTTTTTTCCAGTTAATAGTTTCTGTAGCGAGTTCAGTAAAGACTAAAATCTCAGCTGAACTTTCAGTTGATGCTGCCGTACTGGCTGATTTCCATGCAACATAGTTTTCTTTGTGTGTTGTTGAACTCTCATATGATGGTATTCAGTCTTTCAACTTTCTCCAACCTCTGTTGATGCTCCATCCTGATTGATCAGAGAGAACCGATGCATTTGCAGCACTTTTGTTCAAAATGAAGCAAGGTGCACAGTACAGAGATTGTTTTTCTGTACTCCAGCATAACCAGTCTCTTGTGCAGGTCTGACCATTGGGAAGAGTTTTTGTCAGCAGACAAGTAGGGAAAACATGATTATCAGCATCTTGTGGAATGTTACTTGGAATTTGAAAACAACTAATTTGAAGAAGAGATTGCATTTGGGCTGCATTGTTCTTGTCAGTAATTCCAATGTCAGTCACAGTCAAACCTGTAGTGCTCATGAATTGCTCTTGCTGCGTAAAATCTACAACTTCCTATTGCTGTTGAGTTTCTTGATCGTACACAGTCTCTTCTGCTGCATCTGTTACTGTTGGAACATCTCGTTCTTGACTACTGTCCTCATGTTCAGATATTAGCATTGAAATATTACTTGTTGCAGTTGTGGAGCTTTCATTATCTGTAGCATTGTTTGTTGGGTAAGGTGTGTTTTCCAGTGTTTTGAGAAATGAAGTTATTGACTTTGAGCTCTTAGCTGCTGCTTCACTCAGTTGCTTGCACCACTTTCAAATCTCCTCTTAATAGTGATCTATCTGGTCAATATGTAGCCTATCCACACTTGAAATATTCTGCTGTAAATAAGTAGCTTATCTACACTTTAAGTCTTCTACTGTAAACATGTACACAAAGGCTGAAAAGACTTAAAATGACGAATACTAATTAAGAACACAAAATGAAACAGTCAGACCGGTTATTATCCTTATCCTTATCACTGAATCAAAACTCAAGCACACAAGGTATAATATAACAGGCTGAGCTGAAGACAAAGGTATGACATATATATAGTAAACACAGACACGGATACACACAGAGGGATAATGTCCAAAAAATTTCAAATGTGTGCCCTCATGAAACTCTCTGTACAAGATTGTCCTCACAAATTTTCACCTTGAATCTGGGCCTGTAGACTACAAAAGCCTATGATGATGGCCAGGCTACCAAGCTAAGGCTTAACCAACCAACCAGTCACCTCTTTTAGCTACCATATGAAGATAATAATGAGGAATTCTCACACATAAATAATTCCTTCATCAACTAGACGTGAAACTATACAGACACTGATATGTAACAATTCTCTCAACACGCACTTGATCCAGCACCAGCCACTAGTAGTGGTTTGTTGATATAATCAGCTGAGCTGAGAGGACACATTCATCACAGTCTAATCTTGTACCATCAGAACTGATATATTTTTATTAATATTTATGAATATTTTAAACTCTTTTTAATATGAAAAAATCTATATCATGTGATACAGGAGGGCCAGGGAGCAGTGGGAGAGTGGTAGAGGGGAAGTATCTAAGCCCTAGGCTAATTAAGGCATGGTTCCCTGTAGACTAGGGAGGGTTGCTACAGGTTAATTGGAGCACCTGTGGTCAATTAAGGCCCTGTTAGCACCCTAATAAAACCCCCTGCTTCAAGCAGTCAGGGGAGAAGGAGGAAGGAGAGCGGACTGGAGCTTGGAGATGTGCTGTGAGACTTGGAAGATCAGAAAACCGGAGTAAGGGAGACCCTGCCCCAGCAGGGAAGGGAGACTCCCTCCCCCAGCGTTTAAGGACTGAAGGTACCCCACCCAAGGGGGAAGAGGGTAAGAACCCGCAAGAGTTGAGAGGGGCTGGGGCTCAGATTAAGGAGCAAAACCAGACCCCTCCCCACTTCCCTCCTTTACCACCTTCCCGGGCCACTAGTGGGGCCCTCGGTGCCCCAAGAGCAGGGGCAAGGGATGGCATCTTAGCCCCCCGCCAAGAAAAGCGCAGGACCCACCATACTACATTGGCCATCTTGTCACAATCAGTTAACAAAAAAAATGTCTTTTACCAAATCACATCTCTTATTTGCTTAAATTTGCAGCTCTAAGCTGAGAGAGTGTGTCACATTTTGGTCCAATACGGATGTGCATAAAAACAAGTTGTGAAACTTATCAAATGCCAAAAAATTAACAAGTGTCTAAATTGGAGACCCCTTTAAGCTTGAGGCCCAGGCCAAATGGCCCTCCTGGCCCCTTCTGATTGGCCCTGGATCTTAAACAAAATAAGCAGTCATGGGATAGGAGGAATTAGGGAAGGTCTTCTCATGTTCAGTAACTGGTTAAGACAGGAAACAAAAGGCAGGAATAAATGGTCAGTTTTCAGTGGAGAGAAGTAAATAACAGGGTTCCCCACGTATCTGTATTGGGACCTGTGTTGTTCAACATTCATAAATGATCTGTAAAAAGGCATAAACACTGAGGTGACATAGTTTTGCAGATGATACAAAATTAATCAAGATAGTTAAGTCCAAAGCAGACTGCAAAGCATTGCAAACGGATCTCACAAAACTGGATGACTGGGCAACAAAATGGCAGATGCTATTTAATGTTGATAAATGCAAAGTAATGCCTATTGGAAAACATAATCCCAATTATACCTCTAAAATGATGGGGTCTAAATTAGCTGTTACCACTCAAGAAAGAGATCTTGGGGTCACTGTGGATAGTTCTTTGGAAACATCCACTCAATATGCAGTGGCAGTCAAAAAGGCTAACAGAATGTTCATCACCATTAGGAAAGGGATAGATATTAAGACAGAAAATATTATAATGCCACTATAGAAAGCCATGGTACATCCACACCTTGAATATTGCATGCAGTTCTGGTCATCCCATCTCAAGAAAGATATATTAGAATTGGAAAAGGTACAGAGAAGGGTAACAAAAATGATTAGGGGTATGGAACAGCTTCCATATGTGGAGAGATTAAAAAGACTGTGACTGTTCAGCTTGGAAAAGAGACAACTAAAGGGGATATGATAGAGATCTATAAAATCATGAATGGTGTGGAGAACGTGTTTAAGGAAGTGTTATTTACCCCTTCACATAACACAAGAACCAGGAGTCACCCAATAAAATTAACAGTCAGCAGGTTTAATACAAACAAAAGAAAGTACTTCTTCATACAACATGCAGTCAACTTGTGGAACTCCTCGCCAAAGGATGTTTTGAAGGCCAAGAGTATAACTGGGTTCAAAAAAAGAGAATTATGTAAGTTCATGGAAGATAGGTCTATTAATGTTTAATGGTCAGGGATGGAACCCCATGGTCCTCTGATGGCTAGATGCTGGGACTGGATGATGGGGGATGGATCACTCGATAATTACCGTGTTCTATTCATTCCCTCTGAAGTGTCTGACATTGGTCACTGTGAGAAGACAGGATACTGGGCTATATGGACCATTGGTCTGACCCACTATGGCCGTTCTTATGTTCTTATTGAGTTAGGACACTTTTTGAGTTCTGCTCCCACTGCTGCCACTGACTTGCTGTAAGATCTTTGCCATATAGCTTTTAAATTGTGTATATCATCAGTTTCACCACCTATAAAATTTTATCCCACCTGGCAAGGAGAACCCAGTTATACTTTTCGCCTTCTAAATATCCCTGTCAAGGGTGGTGGTAGATTTGTAAAGCACTGTGATAGTCTCAGATGAAAGGTGCTACGTAAGTGGTTCATATCTGTGCAGTGCAAACCCTCAAAAGCTTCTACTAAGTCATAAACCAAACCTATTAAGTGCCAAAGGAATATTGTTGCTTGTGTCTGGTCACTGAGTACAGAGTGAATGGCTTAGACATGTTCCTATCTATAGTCTATATTTTTGTTTTTAAAGCTCTCTTTTTATATCTTTTGTAGATCACATTAATGGATGCCAACTATGTCATGGATGAGACTCTTGGCACATCAACATTTCTTATATCCTCTCTGAAACTGGGGGAGAAGAAAGAAGTTCCATTTACTTTTAATGAAGTAAGTTGCAAATCTCGATAGCTTGGCCTGCTTTGCTAAAGTCTCAAACATGATGATGAATGTTAATGCAGTAGCAGCTGACTCGAAATCTGGTATTTGGAAAGTCAGAGCACACAATGTAAGTCTTTTTTCAGGTTTCTTATATTTAGCTACACAGTATTCTGGTTGGATAATAGCCTGGGAGTTTTGCTTGTTCCTAGATCACATAGAAGCTATTGCTTTTGTAGTAGATTACATGCTATCCATGTATGTACTATCATGCCCTGACAGCTTTTCCAAAAGGACCTCACTTTCTCCTCACTGATGCTGATTTCAAGCAAGTAACTGGTTAAGGCCTTTTTGGTAAATCAGTTAAGAAATGTATATAAGGTATAATTTACTGCAGCCTGAGAGTTGATTTAATTCTAACACCATCTCTTTTGGAAGTTATTGCTTACCTGAGTACTTGTGTCTTATGAATGCTCTGATTAATACCTGGTCTTTTTTACTTTTCGGTTGACTCTTCTGTATTGGTCTCTCGGTCTGCCATGTTACTTGAATGAGACTTGAATCATCATTTAGTTAGGAAAGAGGAGAGAGAGAGGGAAAGGGGTTGATGTATCTGAAATTAATTGAGAACAATATGCCTTATATATTTTGTGTTAATGTTAAGTTGTTGTCAAATTGCAAATACTTTTTTTTCTATGGATGGAGTCATTTAGTTCACTAATTTTCCTTGACATTAGACAATGAGTAGGGGAAAGCCTTGTTTAAAGAAATCAAACTATGATGAGCCTTACGAGTAGAGCTGTGCAAATAACGGATTTTTCAAGTTCAGTGGTGGTTCTGAAAAAACAGAAAGAAAAAAAAAATCAGTTCGGGTCCAACCAAATTGAAAAAAATCAGAAAAATCGAAATCAGTTTCAGGTCTGTTCCAGGTCTGTTCAAACCAAAGTCTTCCATATTCTAGCAGGGAGGACAGTGGGGGTGGCAGCAGTACCTCCTCCTCCTCTGGCCATTTTGTGTCAACTTCACAGATTGTGTTGGGACAACCAAGGCTGCATTTTTTTATTAAATAAACTATTCATTAGAAATTTTTTCCCAGCTCTACTTATGAGAGAATGGTGAGGAATTCCAAATCAGGTTGAACTCAACATGCATAACTAATATACACCAGCTGTGCCTAATATTTGTATTTGTCATAGAGAACGGAGTGCTGTTGACTCTGGCATTTCACTTTTGGAGTCTGTTTAATATTCAGTGTGTACATTCTTAAAGTCAGTGCATCACTGCATGTTTTCACTATGGCCTTCTAAAGGTCTTACTGGTACTCCACCTTCTAGGGGCAGGTGCTATGTGGGAGAGTGTTTCTCATAAAAGAGTACAATAGCAGACATATTTCCCTTGTGCGTCAGAGAGTTCAGGGAGGTAGAATTGCTCCTAGTGCTCGCCTGGTTCCAGCTGCTTCTTACACTGAGCCATGCCTAACAGACATGATCTATCCTTAAGGATCAGGCATTGACATTTTTTCAACTTTTTGCTTTCAAACCCCACCAGAAATACTGTTTGATTAAAGAATATTTGTATTGGTCCTTTTAGCTTTGAATATATAGTGAGGTTTTGTTGGACTGGTTATTCAAAACAGGCAGAAAACATCTTATTCTTTCTCTTTGACACTCAGTCAGCTGTGATAAATTCTTCTCTTATCTTTTAGTCTTTATGCATGCCTAAAGAAGTTAATTAAAATTTTGTAAAATTATCATTATTATTATAACTGCATGTGCAAGGGCTGCAGGCTTGGACACTTTATCTTTTAAATCACATTGTAAACATATTTGTTTGTGAGGGTAGACTTGGTGTCTCAGACCAGTAAAATCATTTACCGGTGTGTCATTGCTTCAAATCCAGATCAGGATGTAGTACCTACTGGTGCTGCATGTGGAGCAAATAACAGATAGTACTGCTATTGGCAGTAGAGGCCAAGATTTTTAATTATGTGGGGACTGAACAAAAATTGCATCCTGGTCAAGGGTGACACTCACTCACAAAGCAATGTATGGGGGAAGACAATGCTTATTGACAATGCTAATTGGGGGTGATAGCTCAGTGGTTTGAGCATTGGCCTACTAAACCCAGGGTTCTGAGCACAATCCTTGAGGGGGCCATTTAGGGAACTGAGGTAAAAATCTATCTGGGGTTTGGTCCTGCTTTGATCAGGGGGTTGGACTAGCTGACCTCCTGAGGTCCCTTCCAACCCTGATATTCTATGATTCCAATGGGTCTTGACTAAGTCAAGATTTAACACCACATGCTCTTCATGTTAACTGAGAACTGTAGTCTCTGTACTGTGTGACCACCTTTGAAAGCACTCTGTTCATTCTTCCTAAGGAAACCCATTTACGTATCTGGTCAATTGTTTCCTCTTTTTAAAGTGGGTTTATAACTTATAAGGAGGAGGATGAGTGTATATTCAAAGTGCATATGTTTTCTTTCCTCTATAAATGAGATAATCAGCTTGAAATGTTTCTTGTTTAGGTCACAGAAATGATTTTGGAATTGTTTCTTGAAGTCTGGTAAGTATCTCACTTAACCAAACAAATCTGTAGAGAATGACTGTATGAGCAGCCTATTTATGTGTTTTCTATTCCTTGTAATTTTTTTTCAAAAGTATATAAAATTAAATTCAAAATTAACTAGTATTAAGGTTGAAATATCAAGCACTGAAAACTCAGGACAATCCAAAAGTGAAGGTTACGCCCATAAAGTAAGTCTGCTGTTGACTTAAATGGGATCATTCATGCAAGTAAAATTATGCACTTGTTTAAGTGTTTGCAGGAGCAAGGCTGTAGTTTGTAAGATCCTTGTTCCTGGGCCTCCACTAAGTGCTGTCCTTTCCAATGGTCCTCTCCTATGCAAAACTTTAGAAGCTCAGTAGGCAGCCAGCCTCTGCAGTTATCCTTATTGCAGTCATCTTCCACTCTGATCTCAACTTTTAGCTATCTAGCTGCGGATGCATGCTCATCAGATCAATCTTTAAGATTTTAATCCTGCAAAGACTTATGCTTATACTTAACTTTGCACATGGAGGATATTCCCATTGAAGTAACTGAAACTGACTTTAATGGAACTATGCACTATCAATAAAACTATGGCCCCACTGAAGTGAATGGCAAGGCTGTCATTGACTTCAATGGTGCCAGGATTTAGCCCCATGTGCAAAGGTAAGCACATGCATAAGTCTTTGCAGGGTAAGCAAATAATGAAATGCTCTAGTGCGCACCTTCAAATTTTCATGTCAAAATCTTTATTTTAAAGTCATTCCTCATCCCCGCACATAACAAAGTAAGAAATAATTCTTCAATGAAGGCTATTTACAGACCTGGTTTTATAGATCAACTATTTTTTTGAATGATCCCTCTGAAGAAAAATGTGGTCATAATATTTTTTGAAAGTGAGGAAAAATTATTTGTATGACTGTAGCACCTAGGAGCCCTAATCATGGTCCAGGGCCCTATTGTACTAGGTACTGTACCAATGCAGAACAGAAAGATGGTTCCTGCCCCAAATTCACTTCTCATTTTTCAAGAATGTCTGAAGTTATTTAGTCAAATAAATATATTTGGGAGAGGAGCGAATTCTATTTAATCCTAATCTATTTAAATTCTTATACCATCCTCATCACTGTAGTATCTGAACACCACCCATTAGTGCATTAAGTGATACGACTAATTTTTATCATGTGTGGTTTCTCCTCTCTTCAGAGAAACAACATATTTTGAGGAATAGGTCAGGCATCAAAATTTTCAATCTAAAAGTTATGAGCAACTGAAAACAGAGAACTTAAAAATCGACTAATTTTCTTCTGTAACTATAGTAGTTATTTCAGGCACCATCACTATATTAAATATAACTCCTTATGGTTAAGGGGCTGTGGAAAACAGCCCCCAGGGTTTGTTTCATCTTATTCTTTATGCCAGCAGATGTGCATCTGTGTGTGGTCCACTGGGCCACTCCTAGAACTCCTGTGGCTTATACATTTAGACACAACAAGGTGTGATTAATTCATGCTTATGATGTTAACTCAATACAAGCCTCATAGCCATGTCGTGTTGCAATTATAGACTATATTAGGATATCTTAACAAAATGGCACAAGAGGCCAAATTATGTTCCCAGCTACACTCTGGAAACCCCACTGGTTGTAGAGAGACTGCAGAGATGTAAATGACAGCAACATTCAGTCCACTGTATTCCTAAATCCAAGGCCAGGGCATTGCTTTTAGCCAGTCTGGTTGCTGTATTTTTCATGTCTGTAATTTTCATCGAACACATATGAAATGTGCTGTTTAATTTAACTGATGAAACTCAGAAATCTTGAATTTCTTTCAATTGTGCTGTACAGTACAACAGTCACTGCTCTCTGAATTATACCAATATATGCATTTTGGTGGTGCCTTGCTTCTAGGCAATCTTTTTTCTTCTTTACTCATTCTGTTCATCTGACTGCATAATAGTTTGATTCAATGTCTTTTGATGTATATTCCCACTTTATGTAAGATGTTACATGTTCACAGGTCTGTATGTTTGTCAAAAAGAAACCTTGGATGTGCTGTCTAGTAACTAAGTTGTCAAAATACCCCAGTTGTTTAGCTCATCTTTCATAATGGCTCACTTTCAGTGAGGTATATGCGAGCAAAGATTTTTGCCAGGTCCCCCCAACACCCCTTTCCCAACATACAGCCTGTAGCCCTGATGCACCAAAACACTGAAGTACGTGCTTAACTTTCAATGAGTGGTCTCATTGAATTCAGTGGCACTACTCACAAAGTCAAAGTTAAGGGCATGATAAAGTGATAAACAGTCATGCAATAAAAAGTACAGCGGGAGTATTGGGGATCACACCCTCAGAGTGGTGTACAAGATCAGTGAGGCTTGGTCTACACTTACCCCCCAAGTCGAAGTAAGGTACGCAAATTCAGCTAAGTGAATAACGTAGCTGAATTCGACATACCTTACTTCGAACTTACCGCGGTTCAGACGCGGTCCACACGCGGCAGGCAGGCTCCCCGTCGACTCCGCGGTACTCCTCTCGTTGAGCTGGAGTACCGCAGTCGACGGCGAGCACTTCCTGGTTCGATTTATCGCGTCCAGACCAGACGCGATAAATCGAACCAGGAAGTTCGATTTCCAGCCGCTGAACTAGCGGCTAAGTATAGACCAGCCCTGAGTCTTAACCATCCCTGGTCAAATGGCAGATGAAACTTCTTACCCTGCCTGCACTATATGTAGTGGAAAGTAGGAGCCCAGTCTGTGGAATCCCAAGAAAATCCCAATACAAAAATTAGGCCCTGCTGGCTACATTGGGGATCCACTTCTGGCCTAAACTACATTGGTGCAAGTCCTGCTGAGTTTGCTACCACATTTGTCACTCAATGACAATCTCAGGAGAGAGGCCAAGGTCTGAGTGTCCATGGAGATTGAATTATCATCTCACTACTTGACACAGCACCTCTAAGTCAACATTAATGTGTGCTGGTGGGGTTATGCAAAGAAGCATTCACTGCAGTTGTTCATACTGTCTTTGATCTGTGGATAAGCAGAGAATTCAAGTTCCTGGGCTGTGAATCTAGAACCTTTTTATAAGTGTTAACTTTACTATTTTTTAAAAAAGGCCACAGAATACATTACTAGCAGCTGAATATTTTATGTCTTCTCTTTCATGTGTTCACTAGTCTGTGAGCTGCAGTCCTGCCAGATAAAATGAGTTGAATACTGGGAGGATTCATATTTGCTAAAGAGACACTGTGACCATTCTTCCCCCTTAGAATGACTTCATGGAATGTGGTACATTATAGTATGATTATGCAATTTATCTAGTACTTTGTATTTTATTGTTTATAATGTAAACCATTAGCACTTGTTCCTGTTCCCATTAAAGTCTATGGGATCGTAGGTGAAATTTTGTTTATCTGTTTTGGGGTTCACAGTCTGTCTGTTTTGCAAAACAGCTCTTCAACTGACCTCCGGTTCAGCATGGCTCTGTGTGATCAGGAGAAGATGTTTCGACAGCAGCGGAGGGAGAATATCATGCACAAAATGAAAACTCTTCTAGGAGCAGAAAACAGCAAGAACTTGGCCACTTCCCGCGATGTAGGTTTGAAATGCTTCTGTAAATAATTACAACCTGAGCAGCCAGATCAGTATTACCTTTGCAATCCTATTCCTATCTTTCTGAAAGACATGAAAATAAAGAATAGGATGAAGGGTACAATTCAAAGTTTAGTAAAAGTACAAATAAACATCTTTTAGTCCCAGCAGATTCATGATATGGGATGAGGCTGATTTTGCCATCTCTCAAAGTTGTAAGTTAATTTTTTAGGTTTATCCTGCAATAAGTTTCATGCTCATGGAGCCCCATTGAAGTCAGTAGCGCTCTACATTGGCACAGGGATCTACCTGGATGGAGCACATTTCAGGATCAAAACCTTGGCTTTTAATCTTTATTGACACTTTCATTAAACAGCCTGTAACATAGTTTTCGGTTCTTTTCTTTCTGAATCCTTAACAAAACACACCTAAAAGAAAGTTACTACTTCTGTTAGATCAGAGATCCATCAGCTCTTTCTCTGTTGGTATTATTGTATTTTTAGTGTCAGGAACCACGGGGTTGAGTTCCCTCTCAGCTGAGCCTGGGTTAGCCAGTTCAGCATTGCTCCTCCTCCAGTCTGCCCCAGCTCTGCTCCCTTTCCTGACCCCTGATGCTGGCTCTGAGCCTGGGCTCTGGTTAGTGCAGTGATTCTCAAACTTTTGTACTGGTGACCCCTTTCAAATAGCAAGCCTCTGAGTGTGACCCCCCCCCCTTATAAATTATAAATTTTTATATATATTAACACCATTATAAATGCTGGATGCAAAGTGGGGTTTGGGGTGGAGGCTGACAGCTCGTGACCCCCCATGTAATAACTTCACGACCCCCTGAGGGGTCCCAACTCCCAGTTTGAGAACCCCTCGGTTGGTGGTTTCTGACCCCAGCTCTGACCCTTGGCTTGACTCCTGTCCCTTGCTCTAACCACAAGACTGGGCTCTGGCTCTAACCATAAGACTGCCCACATCCTGGTTCTGACACTTAGGGCTTTATACTGCAAAGTGCTGGGCACCTCCTACAAGGTGCTTGCACTCTGCTGAGTACACTTGCATGACTGGGTCTTTGCAGTCTGTTTTTTTCAGAGGAGATAAGCACCTGCAAGTCCCATTGACTACAGCTGGTGCTGTGGGTGCTCAGCACTTCTGAAAACCAAGTCATTAGGGTCAGATTTATAAGGTATTTAGGTGTCTAAAGATACAGATTGCACACAGTGAGCTTTACAAAACTGTCTAAATGGACTAGCGCCTAACTTCAATGGCTTTCACTGGGAATTAGGCACCTAATCTGTTTAGGCATATGTGTAAATCCCACCAGGCACCTATCTGCATTTTTAGGGACCTAAATTCCTTTGTAAATCTGGCCATTAGTGTCTAAGGATCATTTTTTGTTACCAGCAATTAAACCTAATGACAATTATTTGGTCTCTGCACATTGGCTGGCTGATGATACTGAAATGAAGACTGTCCTTACAGCACATATATGGGTTTAGGTTAGGGAGCTGTCTTTTTCTTTTAGCATTAGCAGAATGTGATAGACTTTTGCAGGGAATGTGAAATCTCACAATTTCCAGTGGCACACAAATTCTGGTGTTTGGTCAGCTTTGTGTACAGTGTCCAGAAAGCATAGCAACTAGCATCTGACAGATAGGGAAATAGGGACACTTTTGATTGGCTGTTCTGTATTCCCTGATTGCTGGCAAGCTTGTTTCCCAATTGCTGCTGTCCCTTTGCTCGCCACAATATTGCAGAGGCGTTTTTTCCCTCCACCCCCAAGTCCTGCATTTCCTTCTCTGTTTCTCTTCCCTCAGGTCCCATTGATCTAGGTGAAAACTTGTAACTTGGGCGTGTCTGCTTTTCACAGTGTATGTTCCTTGCATATTTCCATATAAGCCTTTATGAAAATTGCATTGCACAAAAGCAGTTGTAGCAAAGCCTTACAAGTGGGGAGGTTACATATTTAGAATTGCACTTCACCTTTCCTTGAATAGCGGAAAAGCCTCTTGTATTCCTCTCTCCCTTTTCTGGTTTTGAGGAGTTGGGGGTGGGGAAAGACTGGCAATAAACTTGTCTTCTACTATGTCTATAGAACTAATATGCAAGGCTGCACTCGACACATATTTTACACTGGTTGAATGAACTGAAACCAAATGCATGGAGCCGAGCTGCTCCTCTCATAGCAACAGCTACTTCTTTGCACGGCCCTAGGCCACCCAGTTATTTTTCAAAGTGGGCAAAGTGGTTAATAAGGTGTGGTTGGGACGTGCTATATTTCTTACCCGCTTCCTTTCTACACAGGCCCATGCTATAGCTCTGTTCTAGATTTGTGTTGCTGGAAATGAGGAGGTGATCATACAGGCAATAGGCATTTATGCAGCAGCAGGAGTCCTCTCTCCTAGGGCAAAGATTATTTTTCTCTGCCACTGACATGGTCTTTAATTACATCAAGTAACAAGCCAACATAGGAGGGAGAGTAGTTTTAGATAAGAAGAATCCCTTCAAAACCAATTCTCCACAAGGGAAGAGGTACCACAATCAGGCATGACTCTAAGCTCTATACTCTCTTTGATACATTGGGGTATAGGCTATTAAAATTAGTGGGAGTTTTCTGCATGCAGCAATGGGTCACTTCCCATAAGCGCTATATCATGAATTCTGTGATTCCCATGATGGCTGTGGATTTAAATACAGAGGGAATGTAAGTGATGACCAGTCTTTTCTTTGTTGAACACTTCAAAGAGCAGCCTTTTAGAGTTTGCTGTGTCCTGAAGGAGATTCAGCCTTTCCCTCCTGCTCCTGCCATTACACTGGTTAATAGACTTGCTGACCAGTGATGGTTTGGGAGCATCCTTAAATAGTTTTCCTCTTATGGGCTTGCACCTGGAACTCCCCTCTGCTCAGCCTGTTGAGATTTGCCTTTATAGATCAATTAGCTAATGTTTGCAAGGAGCTTTCAAAGTTTAAAGCACACTCTAAGTGCTGAGTAATATACTAATATAGCTCTACTGTTCAAAGCAACTGCTCTATCAGTGTTGGTTTAGTAAAACAGGCATGTCCTAATTCTTCACTTTAGTTTTGTTGTTCTTTGACAGAAACCTATCCCTTGTACAGAATGACAAAGAATGATAATGCCAATAAATACCTGTGGTTGGAATTATTAATACCTAGAACTTATACGGTGCTTTACATCTGAAAAGTGCTGTACAAACACTAATCAGTTAATCTTCTTTTACTGAATTAAAATCCAATCTTTTGTATAGAGTGGAAGGTCAAAGATGACATCCAAAGTTTTGCAATTATTGGGTGCAGCCATTTCCACTGGCTATGTGTTTTAGATCTAAGAAGCAAAAGTGGGGTTCATTGCTGATTTATTTCAATATTGACTTAAAACTTGCAGAGTGTGTTAAAATTCCCATGTAAAGTATAAATAAGTAAACTATAAAATTTGTTTTCCCTGCATCCATCCTTAAAATCTTCCTAACCACTGTAAATATCAAAATGTCTCAGTGTACATACAGGAAGCAAACATTGAAATTAATAAAATCCAAATTAAAACATTTTTTTGCTTTCATCAAAAGAATCACACACTGTTATAAAATGCAGTAGAGCCACATTCTTCCACCCTTATTTGCAATACCTTATTCTGCAAGTAATGCCATTTAAATGAAGAGAAAGGCACTAGTCCCTGTGGGTAATAATTGCACAATCTTGCCCTGGTTGATTTAATATTTAAGTAAACTATGATTAGCATGTTGGATAGCATGTTGAAATCATACTTCAGATAATGTACAGCACTTTCCTGTCATGGGTTTAAGAAGTGTCATCAGTGAGATGTATAAATTGATCAATGATTTTGGTTACTGCTGCTGTTTTATTCACGCAGCTCATGAAATGGACTGGGACTGAGATAACTACTAGAGAGATTAGACCAGAGATTAGATAGTGGGATTAATTTACCACTCTATGGGCCAAACTGACTTTCCTGGGATTTGCAGACTAAGAAAAAGAGAGAGATGAAATCTTGGCCTCATTTAAATCAATGGGAGGTTTGCCATTGACTTCAATAGAACAAGGATTTCACCCTGTTAGTGAAATTCCATCCCCCTTTCCTTTTTTCTTCACTGGTTTGAAGACCCCCCCCCCATTTCTGATGTGCATTCACTTTGGCCATCCAATAGCAGTTTCTGTTTTTTGTATATCCGTATACAGCTCCACCTTGGAAATGTATAACTTGGCATTTGTCCTTGAGTCAAGAATAGCATCAGTTAAATTCTCAAGCTGAGGACAGTATCCAGTGTTAATGGAGGGAATGGACTCTGGTTATCTATTAGTTTCCCCTCCTCCCTAATCCCTAACTACTTTGAGTCCATAGACGATTGAGGCGGAGCATGTGAAGGCACAAAGGCACCCATCTCCCATTGACTTTTATTGCGCTCAGGGCCGGCTCCAGGCACCAGGCACCCAAGCTGGTGCTTGGGGCGGCACCTGGAGGGGGGCGGCGCGGCGCTCCGGCCGCCGGGGAGAGCGGGGCCACAGCCGGGCTCGCCGCCCTCCCCCCGGCGCTCTGGCCGCCC